AGGGGGAGAAGGCCCCCCGCGATGGAAAAAAAAAAAAACCAACCCCTCCTCGACGATGCGCTGGGGTCGCCCGGTGGCCAACCGGGCGGAACGACCGGCCAGGCGGCCCGGCCCCCCGCCCGGGCGACGAGCCGGGCGCTGGGCGGCCCGGAGTTCAGCCCTGGATAAAATTGTTGAGGCCACAAGATGAATGGCAGCGGCAATTCGACACATTCTCCATTTTTGCCAGTCCCCTGGTTCTCTCCATTGTGCTACCGGTAGCCCTCTTGAACCTGTGCTACCGGTCCCCCGGATTTTAGGCCGGTGGCGAGAGTGGTGATTTAATCACTCTCTTCTACAGGGAGACACCTTCTTTGTCTTGGTGCCGTGTGCTGTATGTGCATGAACTTGATGGAGAACATCTCAGCTGCCCCAAAGCTACAAGGCGTATGCCAGCATCCCAGAGAAAGGCGCAACTGTCTTCACCCGCATAGAACGCCCGGTCATTATGGCTGCATTTGGGGGCGGCTTTCAGTCTAGATGCAGCGATAATGACCGGGCGTTGTATTCGGGTGAAGACGATAGGATACTCTCCGAACTGTCAATGGGAACCTCAGCCACTGAGAGGAGTTCATCATTTCCGACCAACTTTTTTCTTTTTTTTTTCATTTCCCACCAACTTGTTTGCCGTCCTGTGTTGTTTCTCTACCATGATTTCCACCAGCAGGATTTGATATTGAAGGAATCCATCTGGAATGAGCGCTGAGGTTACAGATTGCTGCCTGTCTTTCATACATCTGATTATAGTTTCAGCACTGTGAATTGCTCTAGAAAAGCCTCAAAAAAGATAATCCAGAGAAACCTCGAGTGTCACTGAATCCCTGCTTTCCCAATTTTGAGAGTGAAGTGCATCAGCAATACAAATGGAAGATGTGAACACTCTTTTGCAGTTCGGTGTTGTTTGATCCTCTCAGTGAGTGAACTTAGACTTTCTGTAAAGTTTGTTTCCTGTGAAAAGATAAGTAAAATCTTCTTCCTCTTTGTGTTTGTTATTGCGTGCATTAATTACGTGAGACAGGTTTTTGGGCTGATACGCCTTGGAACATCAGTTTGAATTTCTCTCATTCTATGTGCAGGTAATTCCCCAACACAGAAATTTGAAAACTGATGTGCAAGGGCCTGATTGGCCCGGAAACAGCAGCCATTGTGTTTTTAATGGATCTCTATGTGTGATTGCCTTTTTGCCTGTTCTGAACTACCGGGTATGGTTTCTCGTCATGGTTCCTATCAGTGTGCTGAGTGTCTACATCCCTACTGCAGATGACGCCCGATATGTGAATGGAAACATGGAGGTAGATCGGGATCATGTACCGGAGGGAATGAGGACAGAACCTCCTGGGCTGGAGTTGATGAAGGTAAGGAGGCAGATTCATCCAGGTTTGTGTGTGTGTGTGTGTGTGTGTGTG